AATTCTTAAAAATTCAATTTAAACTCTTGCATAGAAACTTTTCCTGCCTCCCCAGGGCATAAGAAATCACAGCCTTCTCAGTGCAGTCACTCTGTTTCCTGAGCCCATTTCTGTATTCACATATAACAGGTTGTGTTTTAATACCTGCTTTCATCTTGGCCCCTCTTTCTACTACGATGAAGTCTTTGAATGTAGAATCCATTGCTCTGTCTTTCCTCAGAACTAGGAATGCCATCTGGGATCCAGCAGGTACTTCACAAATATATACAGAGCTAATTCACTCACTCAATTTTCACAACTGCACATGGGAATAACGAGAATGCTGCGGTCTCAAAAGTGTGTGTGGTCTCACAAGATTGTATGACCAGTGAAAGGCAGGTGTTCACCTCCAGTGTAGGACTCTTGTGTCAACTTTGCATTCACCAGGTAGCCTTTTCTCCTGAGAATTTCAAAAGATCAATTATGTTTAGATCCACTTACTAGGGGATAATTGAGTCTGCCTTGAGATTTTTTTTCTAGTTTTCTCAGCTTATGAATATTTCGACACTACTTGAGTTGTCTTAGCCTTGACCCTCATCTTCCTTGTTGTTTGTCTGATGCACAATTCTCTGATCTGTACTCAGACATTTCTCTCTGCTTTTCCTTCCTCTGTTTTTTTTTTTCTTTCTGGTGACACATTCAAAGCATGTGACTAATACTGCACCCTATTAACATTCTTCAGCCTTTCATAAGAAGTTGCTAATAGCTTTGACTTTAATTCTTGACAGTCTATACTCAGCAACCGTGTCCAGAGAGACATCTTCTCATCTAACCCCTTAGACAGGACATGTCCAGTCAGAAGCCACTTTGGAGTACTAATGACTATAATTTCCTAGATATCTAATGATGTGTTAAGAATTCTTAACTTCCTTCACATACACAGCCAAAAAGGAATCTGTGTGCTGCTGATGTTACATAAATGATTTTAGAAGTGAATTCTGAGGCTCTGTTCATATTATTTAACAACTACTATGTACTGTCAAAAGATAAATTAGTCCTTTCTCTTAGACCCAGGTCCTTAGTTGCAGTTGTTTGCAAGACTCTTTGTGCATACTCATAGGCACTTTTCTCCACGATGTATAAAACTGATGTTTTAAAAGTATGTTCTCCAAACTGCATTTTCCCAACTTTTCTGTCAATAGTCTTCAACTTTTCCTTTTAAGTCCCATTATGCTAAAAGCCACATAGCTATTTCAAAGCATGGGAAATGTTTTAAATATGTCCCCAGTCCAGCTCTCCTTCAGCAACGAATTGTCCTAGTACATCATTCCCACTAGTTCTCTTAGGATAGTGGTCTCTTCCTGTCTCTTGGCTCTATTAGCCATCTTGTATACCACAGCAACGGCACTACATTTATTAGGCCATGATGCTTGTTACCACCCATTTATTAATACCAACTCCTCAACCTGCTAATTGAGAATTTGAGTGGTATGGCTTTTTTTGTTGCGTGTTTACTCTGCCCTGGATTTGCCCCTTTTTAGCGGCTTCCCCTCTCATCTACCAGCCACTTACTTGGATGCTGTTTCTTCTGTTAAACCTTCCTGAACCAATTAATCATTTCATCCTCTCAGTTTTATAGCACCCATTGTACTATAATAGTTTCAGTGTGTATCTGCCTATTGTAGTAGTTTTCTATTCTTGAGTTCAAGATTAGAAAGTTCAAGATGTAATCATCCATTCATTTCACAAATGCAGTATGATATCTAGCGTAAAGTGGGAATTCAACAGACATTTGTTGAGGAAATAAATGGGCAAGTAAAATAATGGCTGTGTAGTTTTCATGAACAATTCTGCAGTTACCCATTATTTATTTTTCTGAAATGTCTTTGTAAATTTCTCAAGTCCATATCACACACACACACACACACACACACACACACACACACACACACGGAAAAATGACATTTTATATTACTGTAACTGTTGAAAAGAAGACATACATGTAACAACTCCAAGTAATATCTACATTAAGGCTGTGGAATTTGTGATTATTGTTAACAATGAAGTTCTTTAGATTTTAAAGTGCCCCATCTTCCTTTATGTGCTAACTTTTAAAAGTGGTAGGTTACAAATAATACCAGCCTTAAATATGGGAATAGAATAAAAATGAGTTGTTGCATATTCACTGTGAGTATACTATACAGACACCCCACAACACAGACATACACACACATTCTAATTAAATATTTAAAGGTCATATTATTTCTTACCTCTTTAAAGTAGGTCCTCAAATATAAGTCAATTATTGTATAGATTCCCTAAAAATGACTTTGGCAACTTTAATCTATAAAATAAAAAATTATTTCATTCACTATGGCCAACAATTTTATTTTATCTCTTATCTGATATTATACAAATGACTTCTTTTACTTCAGTTTTTAACATTCATAGCTCCAGATAAATGGTAGGAAATTAACTAATACTAGGTAAAATGGCTATATTTACTGTAGAGGCTGTTGGTCTTGATAATAATATAGGTGTTAGCCAGATAGTTTTTTACTTTGTAGTGATGCAGGTGTTTATTTAAAACAAAACAAAACAAAACAAAACAAAACAAAAAACCTACAGTGCCCTTTCTCCTGTGAGCTGTTTGTAGTATTGTCAAATGGAATTTCTCTCTGGCTAGAATTTTCTTTTCTTTTTTCCTCATCAATTTAATGTATTCTGTCCTCTGTGCCCTGTATGTGCTCCCCTACCAGGAACACAGGTCCCAATCTATTTGGCACACAAATCTTTTCTTCCATGGTTTAATATCATTTTCAACAAGGTAGAAGATAAATCATTCACCAATGATCTACCCATACTAAAATTAAATAATGGTGATTGAAGTTAGAGTAAATAAACAAAGATTTAGTTTTGCTAACCTCCAGAAGCATGAAGTAATGTATCATATATAATTGATACATAGTTCTTTATCATCAATATTTCTTCTTTCAAATTGAGTTTAGATTTCACTGTTAAAATCTGTTTATGACACTTAACCCTCACAGCTCTAGCAAAGGATTCTTCATTCAATTTTAACATTGATGTCAATATGTATTTATTGTTGCTAAAGATTAAAAATTATGATTCAAATAAGCACTTTAACCTCATTTTACATGTCTGTAACAATCAACACTCTGAAGAATTTGATGTGATTTTTGTCTTCTGAATGACATCATATCTTTAATTGAAACTTTCTGAAAAGTGAAAGCATTCATTGGTCAAATTGAAAGAGAAATATTCATTTTATGATTTTTTACTTCTAGTCTAATATCAGATAATCTTAACATGTATTTTAAATTTGAATGACTGAAAATCTAAGCTGCTTAATTACAAAATTTATGGGTTTATTGTGGAACTGCCAAATGATTTTCTTTGTCTTCGTTATTTCTTTAAGGTTTTATTCTTTCTTTTAATGGACCACCCTCTGTCCCAGAATTAAAATCAACAGGTTCAATGGTATGTTTTTGCTGTGAAGTGGAAATTAATTTGAGAGAAAATATGCACTTGATTTATATGGCATTTATCACTCAGTTCAGGTGGAGTTTGAACTCTCTATCTGTGGGTCTTACAGGGTCAGATCAGCCTTCTGGGACTGGGAGCAAGGTTGCACTGGTCTTTGCTATGTAATGTTCTTTGATGGGTAATAGACAATCATTTAAACATGTTAGAACACAAGATAGCTAAATACACTAGAGATATGAACAGTAGACAATTTAAAAACTACTAGAAAATTCCCTTCTTCTATAGTTAATCTTATGAATATAGTTTTATATATATAGTTAATTAAATAACTGATTCAGTGGGCTAATTCATTGATCTAGTGAAGAAGAACCGAACCATTTTTTCAAAAATAGATTTGAACAAATGAACACACACACGTCTGCTCAGCTAACTTTTCTTCCTAAGGCATATTCCTTCTTTGTTTCCATTTCTTTAATTCTGAGGATTTCAGTACTCTCAGCTGGAAATTACAACTCAATCCAAAATTACACAGTGTTTATCTGATTTCTCAAAATGAACGGACTGTAGGACCGAGTTCAGAATTAGGCAGAGCAATTTAAGCATTGGAGTCTTTAATCTCAGTAATGATACTCCACAGTTCTTAGCTATCCAGGGGGTTATTTAGGCTTGTTATCTTTTGAGACTCATTTTTCCTTCCCTTCCTCCATCAGTGAAGGCAGGTGGCCGGGAGGACTAATAGCTGGCAGCATTTTTTAAAAACAGAATCCAAAATGTGTTTTTCTTAAAGCAGACTTAAAACAAAACAAAGCAAAAAAGTTCTGTTCTTTACAGTTCATTTTTAAAGCAACAGGTCTGCTTTTATTAGAGAAATACCACATGAGGTGAATAGAAGTTTCCTGATTCTGGTGGTTTTCAATACTTCATGGTGATTGATAATTAAGACTGAGTGAACTCTGCATTATGGCCTTTAATCTAAATTTGTGTGTACATCTACATGCACCCTAGTTGGATATAAGCAATGATTTTACTAAGTGTTGTGAATCTGTGTGGTGGGATGAAGAAGTAGGGAGACAGGTTAACTTGTTCTAATGAGGCTAGGGATAGGGTTTAAATAGATAGGATTCTTGCATTGACCTGACATAAAAATGTTATTGGAGACTGGAATTTTTGTCTACACACTGTAGAACACACAAATAAGCCTGTATCTTATCATTGTCATATGTGTCCACTCTTCAGACTTACTTTATGCACTGATAAAACAGTCGGCTGTTTTTATTACTCGGGGCTTACAGTAGCCTATTGATTTTGTTTCATGTTATGTTTAAATCAACTGTCTTTATTTTATAGTATCCTAAGGGTCTATTTTATTTACCGAGTTTCCTTTAGATGTGAGTCTCACCATGGAAGACTGATGAGCACCGTCGGTTAAGTGACACAATGCTGTTCACGTTGTCTGGTAGATTCTGCCATAACCATGAATCACCTATAATATTATCCCATCTACTGTATTACAGGAAAAGCAGAGATTTCTGACAGATGTTCTGCATGAAGTGATGCTGCTTGACGGCTTAGCCAGTTCCCATCCGGTATCACAGGAAGTGCTACGGGCAACAGATATTGACAGAGTGTTCGACTGGATCGCATATAAAAAGGTGGGGTAGATAAAAGACACATGCCAAGGAGCTATTTCACTATTGGGATAGACAGCTTATTTCATGCGAGAAGTTTTATATTTTTTCTGTTATTTCTAGCAAATGAAAATGGATTGTAGGTAGGAAAGGAGTTGCTAAGTTCTTGTCATCCCAAGGATAGGAATTTGCTTTATAAATGAGCAAAATGGAAATGAGTGTTTGCCAAACACTGCGTGGAAATAGTCTAAGTATTAATGAATAAATGTTTGGGAACTTCGTTTGAAATTGCTGTACAAATGGTCTTATGTAAATGTCAGTTTTTAGTATTAAGAACGTTGACCTAACTAGTGACAAATTCCTTCTGCTAGTGCCCTTTAAATACTTGATTGGCTGATGCAAATTAGTCTGTGTACTGATAGAACACATACATCTAATAATAATTGTTATCATATAATAATGATTATTATTATTTAATAGTTTTGAAAGAGTTTTGGGGAACTGGGCATGTTTCATGGATGATATGGCAAAGTAAATAGAAACCAGCTTTTGAATGAGTGAGAAAAACTTTGAATCAGTGACTAGTTATAACGTTTAAGGTACATTTCAGTTTTTTCACTGTCACAAGGATTAGGATTTATCCTTATATCTCTGCCCCTTGATTTAATTTTTATGTGAAATGTATGTATTAGCCTTGACATATAGTAGTCACCTGATAGTAAAATGTGGGTAGTTATCTTGTCTATAAATATATTTATTTGTGGTAAGTAGAAATAAAAAAAGCATCAGAAGTCCTTGGAATGCTGATTAGGCTAATGTAGACACTTGGTTTTCTGTTCAGTAATGGCTCCCTAAATGAATAATAATTAGAAAGGAAGGCAATAGTATATAATGATGTTTTGTTAAGAAAAAAAATGTCATTGCATTTGACCAGGGCTAGAGTTTTTGTTTTTTTTAGGAGTGATATCATGTAGGCTCATAACATATTTGTCATTTGTATATTAATTTTATATGTAATGGGTTTGGGCTATGTTTAGCTTGCTATATATTTAATTTATTTAATGGTAGTAAAATTTAAATATAATCTCAAAAATACTTTATTAAGACATTCCAAACTTGGCTCTAAAAGGCTGTTTGTAAATACTAGTTTTACTTTAGCATGATTAAAATCACGACAATATTCTGATCCAATGTACCTTTATATGGTAATCCTAATCCTTATTTCATAGATTTGCAGTGTCAAGATGATTAAAGGAGGCTAACAATAGAAACAGTAGTACATCTGAATATATGGTGATTTTCCTTCTGCTCTCTTTACATTTTGGCAAGGAGTCATGCCAGTTTGCTGATATGAAAAATCAGCCACCTGTGTTGAGGTTCTCAGAACTACCATTGAGATCGTTTCTGATGAATGTTTTACCAGCTGTATATCATTAAGTTTCAAACATCAGTAAAAATGTCGCCTTTGCTCTGATATTTGAAAAGTGCCATTGTTGTATGATAAACTGTGACTGTTTAGAAGGTACAGTCTAATAGGTTCCAACAAATGTAGGCAGTGAGAATGCCATGGTAATCAAGAGAAGAATATATACATCAGTATACATGCTTCTCAAGCCCATTTAAAATCCTGCCTTATCCACTCAGATCATCTTTACTATGAATTAGTTTGCATTTTTGATAGTTTTATAGAAACAATATATATGTATATATGCACTAATTTTCCTTCTTTCATTCACTATACTTATCTCAAGATACATACACGTTAACAATTTATAGGTATGCCAACAATTTGTTCATATCACTAGATATGTGAGCTGTTTCTGGGTTTGGCTATTGGAAATATTACTGTCCCTAGCTCTCTGCATAAAATCAGGCATCTTTGCTATCTGCAGTCTCCATGCCCCATCTACTCTCTGTGTGTGCAACTCAGGGTGGGTCCTTGTGAGTCTTGTAACTTTCCAAGTTTCCAGCATCAGTTTCCCCAGACTTGCAAATTGCATTAGCTTTTCTCCACCCTACCAGAGAGAATGTTTCAATTAAGATGAAATGCCTAAACTATAGTCAGTCTTTTCTTCCTTGAGTTGCCTTTGCACAGTGCTGAGAAACAGAGTCATATATGTGTAGATTGGTTTCTTTATTTCTTATTCTGTTGCACTCATATATATTCTTATTTGGCTCTGGCACCACACGGTCTTGCTTGATGTTGTTTCTTTGTAATTTAATCACGAAATAAGACCATGTCACTCTTCCAGATGGCTTTCTTTTAAGGTTCTTCAGTCCTTCCTGATCTTTTGCATTTCCACAGAAATGAGTTTGTTAATTCCTACAAAACTTATATTGGAATTGTTAGGACTGTGTTGTATTGATAAAACAATCTGGGGAATTGATATCTTAACAATACTGCTTTAACAGACATAGTGGACTCCGACTCAATTCTGTCAGGTCCTCATCCTGTTCTCTCTGCTGCATAGATAATAGCAATCTTTCATACCATCTTACAGGTTTATCTCTGAGTATTTCACATTACAGGCTATTAGACATGGTATTTTAAATTTGTGTTTCTGAGTTTTTGTTACCTATATAGAATGAACTTTGTGGAAATGAAGGGGTTAAGAGCATTGGTTGCTTTCCCAGCAGCCTGGGTTTTGGATTCCTAGCATCCACATGGTGGCTCAAAACTTTTTATAACTCTATTACCAGGCCCTCTGATACTCTCTTCTGGTCACTACAGGCATGTCATGCATGTGGCGTACCGTCATACATGCAATCAAAAACATTCTCACATTAAAAAATTGTAAAGTTAGAACTAAATTTGTTTTTAGACTTCAAAACTATGTCTATGAATGTTTTATTGGCTAAAGGAGAATAGGCCTATTGCAGCCTTTATAAAATTATATTCATTTGGTCTCTGAATTTTTCATAAGTGATACAATAGATCTTGATCATCTCCATTCATCACCTGCCATCTCCAAATCTTATAAGGAACCCTCCTGATATCTTCCTTCTAAAATCATGCCCTCCCTATTTGTTTATTTATTTGTGTGTGTATTTTTAAATTAAGTGAGTCCAATTTGTTAACCCCATCTGTACTAAGGCATGGTGTCATCCACTGCTGCATGGAAAACCTACCAGGGACCACACTCCTGAGGAGTACAAATGAATAATAATGGTTAATGTTTTTTGATAGTCTGTGCTAGGCAATGTGACAACATTTTATCACCTTTCATTTTAATTCTTATAGTCACATGAGGATTTTATTAATATGATTGTCATTTTAAAGATAAGACAATGATAGTAAATTCAGGGATATGTTTCCAGGAAAGTCAGGTTTCAGAGCTCTCAATAATCATTATTGTATTTGCGTAAAAAGCTTGGCTGCTTCAGATAATTCCAAGATTTTTGGACAAGATAAGTGGCCAAGTCTTTGCCTATGTGCTGGGTACTTTCCACAGCATGCTGTGGATAATAATAGCAAGACATAATGGGGAAAGATCACAGAAATAAATGAGTGTAGTGGCATGTAAATGTTTACATTTTAAATGAAGAAACCCGAGTGAAACAATATAAACAGTTGGAAAAATTTATCAATAGATCTGAGGTGTAGTACTAATTTTAGAATTGTTTAGTGAGATATATGAACCACATCATCAGAAATCAACTTTTCTTCAGTTACTTAGCTTGGTCACTATCTATTTGATGTTTTACACAGGTGGTGTCTGTCTAGGTTAGTCTAGTCAGGTGTCACTATTGTGATCTCAATATACATTAAGGAGAATTCCTTATTTCCAGACAGAACATGAGTCTGTCCCTCCAAAAGCTCTGCTTTATTTCAGTTAAGTGACGTAATTTGACTGACTAATCACTGTGTCCACAGGGATGTGATATTCTGACTGGCCAGTCTAGGCCAGTAGCTTATCTTCTGCTGCAGTGGAGCTGGCAGGAAACTCATCATGTAGAGAAAGCTAAGTAGTGGAATATCATGGAAATTACGGAAGGCATGAAGGAATCATATGAAGAGCAAAGGTTTAAGGTAGTAGACCTTCAAGTTGGGCAAGTTGGGTAAGCAGCCATAAAGCCCTTCTGTCACGAGGAACTTCTATTGAATACAGCAGGCAGAGAAGATCCTGAGTTGTTAAAAGATGATATATCACACTTTCAATACTGTCCCTATAGATATAGTAGAGATCAAACTGATTAGCTTGATCGGGACAATTTAGAATAGAGACAGAAATTGTAAACAGTAGACATTTTGGAGTTATTATACGTATCATTTAATTTAAAGAATTTGTTCTTTCTGTGGTTTCCTCCCTGAAGATCTGTTGCTAGTCAACACTGACCTTTGTCAACAGTCAGTCCCCATTGCATTTCCATTTCTTTGCCTTATTTATCATCCTATATAATTATTCATTTAATAATATCCTAATTTGTGATGATATATTGGCAATGATTTAATAAAGCCACTGGAGATCAAAATGCAAAACTAGCCACAGCCTTAGAGCCAGACACTGGGGATACATACCTTTAATCCCAGAAGCTATGCTAGCTAGCCTATTAGGCCAGGCAGTGGTGGCATACATCTTTAATGCCAGGACTCAGGAGACAGGCAAATGGATCTCTGTGAGTATAAGGCCACCCAGGGCTGCAAGAGTGAATCAGTCAAAGAATAACAGAGTTCATGTCTTTAATCCTAGCACTAGGGAGGTATAAAAGGAAGAAACAAAGGGTCTCATGTGAGATTTAGTTTCCAGAGAGGGTGAGCATTGTCTCTGAAGATTCATGGAGACATGATTGCCATTTCAGCTTGGTACAGGTAAGAGCTACTGGCTTGGCTGTTTTGCTTTTCTGATCTTCAGCTTGAACCCCAATATTTGTCTCTGGGTTTTTATTGTTTATGTTACACTAATTATTCCGACATTTATTCTTATCCTTCTTAAATTATAATTTCATTGCACTTTAAATAATTTGCAGAGAATTATATAACAAGAGAATAGGAAGTTATAGAGAAATCAAGGGCATAACTAGTA